TACTAAACTCAGAAAAGAAAAACAAGCCACAAAAGAAATCAAACGTGTGTATCTGATCTTCTCCTCTGCTGCTGTATCAGACTTTGCTGTGTACTACAGAGTCTGATATGTTAGCACTTTTTGGTTTCCTTCAAACGCAACTCATCACCTTGTACCTCAGTTATCGGACTCTGACGCCCACAGTCACAGGAAACACAAGAACACTGTACAAAAACCTGACACAGATGAAGGTGTACAAACAATTTCTTTCCATAGATCTACTTGTAATATACATAGATTATGAGTGTATTTATTTTTTATTTAATATGATCTATTCAAAGTGTACTCTAGGATGTAAATCACTTAAAAAGTCAAATTATTGAAATTTTTTAGTCAAAGTCACTACATTCAATAAAGAAAACCATGTGGATATGATCATCTCCTCTGCTGCTCTGAAAGCAATAAAGCTAATATAAAATAAAATATGCAAAGAATGAAAGAAATAGTATTTTCTTTTTTTCCTACTTTAAAAATTAAACTTTTAATTTGTGATGCTTTTGGGTAAACATAAGATTGTGAATTACACCATATATTCATATTTTCAAGCCTCATTACAGAATCATTAGCTCCTCCTTTTCTATTTAATAATTAATAGATATCTCTTTTACACATCTGTTGCTCTACCTCTTTAATTGTATATAAAATAACAACAAAAAACGAGTCTGGTTGAGATTCTATCAATATTCACAATTGGTCTTGGTGAGATTATTTGCCTCTCTTAAATATTTAGTTTCGTTTATATATTATATTGTTGTTGTTGTTGTTGTTGTTGTTGTTGTTTTGCTAAACTGCCAAACAGGATCATCAACAGAGAGCAGGAAGTTCCTGAGAGACTGTATGACTCAGATCCTGAGTAACTGCAGAAACTCAGAGCATCACAATCATCATCACAACCTACAACACAGAACACAGCATCAACAGAACTGATCTGACTTAGTAAACATGGACAGACAGCTGGTTCTGATTGTAATCATGACTTCAGGTAAAATACTCTTTGATGCCAATGCTAATGAAAATAGTGTAATGTGACTGAATTCAACCCACATGTGCTTTAAAATGTAAACAAAATATTATGTTTATGTTTGCAGGTGTGACGGCTGGAGACCAGATTTGGCCAAATAAGGGTGCAAATGTCATCAGTACAGAAGGAGAGTCTGACACTGAGCTGCTCATATGATACAAGCAGAAGCTATGTTACACTTTACTGGTACAGAGAGTATCCTAATAAAGAACCTCAGTATTTAATATGGAAATATGCTCGTTCATGGAGTGGTACAGGGACCCCTTCTGAACCTCGCTTTCAGTCGACTACATCAGAATCATCCACTGAACTCACTATTACTGGTGTAACTCTGTCAGATTCAGCTCTCTATTATTGTGCTCTAAGAGTAGCAGCCCAGTGATACAAAGTCTATGTGAAGCCGTACAAAAACTCAAATTCATTTTTTAACTTTGAAACTGAACCACATCAAAACCACAGTCTGTTATACACAGAAATAAATTATGTGGAAACATCAGCATCTGCGTCTAGTTTCCAGACATGTAAAAAATGTAGAAAAAAAAAGAAAAAAAAAACCTTACATTTAAGCTATTTTATTTATTGTTATTAATTATTATGTATTTATTATAGCTTTTTGTATGTATACTGTCACAACCATTATGATACATCTCTTATGATACCATAATGATACCAAAATACTGTAAATACTATAGGACATTACTATTATAAACTAATGAATAAATATTGTAATTTTGGGGTAAATGGTTTCTAGAATTAGAATGATCTTTCAAAGTACTCCAATGAATTCATTCATTTAAAGCACTGTTAACTTTTTTTGGCCAACAGAAATCTGATGAAACAAATCAAAGTAGATAAAGATGCAAATACACAGAAGAATCTAATTATGTCATGTGGTAAGCACATTCAAAACTCCTAATTTTGTGGTAAAATCACAGAACGATACAACCTCTTACAGCAATTTTCACACTCAATGTAGTTGGAATGAACTGCTTCTAAACTTGAATCAATCGCATGAACCTCAAAGCATCACAACAAACAAAAACACCCCAAGATTAGCTCTTCAGTGAACATTTAACTAACACATAAGCATATGCAGTGAGGACCTGATTATTGGATTCAAAATCTATTTTAAATCTGGAACAAACTTACACTTTGAAATATTTAAAACAAGAACATTTATGACACTAAATAAATAAAACTTTTAAGATTAAGAAATATTTTTCAGGTCACTAATCATATTTGTGACATTGACTGTGGTAACTATTATCATAATACAAAATGTATAATATCACTGTTAATATTATTGGTTCATTAATTGTTCATGTTTTGTATTTATCTTCAAAATCATCTGCTTAATAAATAATCTATACTTTTCTGCAGTTGCAAAGGCTTTAACCAATGGCGGGGCAAACACATGAGAAGCAGTAGATGGTATCATCACACAGAAAGCAGGAAGTTCCAGTGTGTTTGAGTGTGAAACTGCAGAGACTCACAGTAACACAGATCTACAGCTCAGAGCACAGACTACATTAATACACACCTGATCTGACCTAGTCAACATGGAAAAACACCTGTTTCTGATTTTAATTACGATTTCAGGTATAATTTACTCTTTTTATTTTTATTACAGTGGTATTAATTGGATAATTTGAGATTTTATTATTATTATTTTTTGTTTGTTTGTTTGTTTGTTTTAGGTGTGATGACTGCAGACCAGATTTGGCCAAACAAAGATGCTGTTGTCATAAAGGAAGATGAGACTGTGGCCCTCAGCTGTTCATATACAAGCAGTGGTTATGCGTATTGGTACAGACAGTATCCTAATAAAGAGCTTCAATTTTTAATATATTCTGCACAATCAAGTAGTGGAAGGTTTCGTGTGACTAAATCACAAACATCCACTGAACTCACTATTACTGGTGTAACTCTGTCAGATTCAGCTCTCTATTATTGTGCTCTAAGAGTAGCAGCCCAGTGATACAAAGTCTGCGTGAAGCCGTACAAAAACTCAAATTTATTTTTCACTTTGATGGCAAGTGACATCAAACCCACAATCTATAATTCACACAATGTTATTAAACTTGTGGAAACACCTGTGTGTGGTTACTGAAAGAACGAAAAAGAAACAAAATATAGCAGAATAATTCCCTACTTCCTTACAGTACATCACAGTACATCACACATCTCTTAAAGAAAGTTTTCCAGTGATAAGTCAAATTCTTCATACAGTGCAAACTAAATATGTCCAGTATGTCCTGATTCCCAGTTTTAATTCTTATGTATTCTGACATTGATCTGACATTAGTTACAGTTTGTGAATTATGTCAGAATATGTTACAACTGAATTTAATTTAAATTATTACACGGCTGGGTTCTTGTTGGTCAGTCACAACATTCCAAGGTGTGTTATTCCCCAATAACAATTTTAGTCATTAGCAATGCTGAATAACACACCGCTCATCCAGGTACTTTGATGTCTTTCATATCAGAAAGCTGCACTTTTTGCTTTCCTTCAAACGCAACTCATCACTCATTGTGCCTCAGTTATCGACTGTATTTACTGTAAAATGAAACCAGAGGACTTCAGTATTAATAGCAGCGGTAACATTGTTGAAGGGTTGCCAGCAGAGGCGGACAGTAACTAAGTACATTTACTTGAGTATTGTACTTATTGCCAGAACAAATGTTACACTGTGATGGATTTTGTAATTATAACCAGGTAAGATTTTAAAATGCTTTCTTCTCATATAACATTTTATGTACTTGTCTTTATTTGTATGATTGAAAGCTGTGTAATTAGTATAACTGTACATTATGCCTTAAATGTCCGTCTTATCTGAACGTCGTCTAGGCTCAAAGCTGTTTGTTAAAAATGTTTTTTCTTTGCAGAAGCTTTGCTTTTAAAGAACTAATTAAATATTTCAACTATAATTAATATGTCATGTACTTATTTGGCAAGTAGCTGTGTAATAACCCCCACTTCGCACTGGGGTTCTGATCACCCTGTTGGGGTTTATTCAGTGAAAACAACCATCTGGATGTACATTATCACTTATTTGTTCAGCTCAGCAAAATATTCCAACTCACCACAAGGAGGCATAATTCATCAAATTATATATAAGGCTGAACCTTATGAAGAATATGAAACTACAAAGAGAAACACAGACTATACAGTAAGAAGAAAACACTTCTGGAAATTTCTGTTAAAATATTCTCAGCAACAATGGCAAAGTGGGTGATTATTACTTTTTTCTTCACTGCTCATGAGTTTGGTAAGAACATTTCATTATTTACACTTTATCTTTTTGTGAGATACTCAGTGTCAGTACATGAATAATGGGTAAATCTATTTTCCAGTGTGCTGGGGACGAGACAAAGTTGAACAAGCTTCAAGACAAATGACTGCAAATGAAGCAGCTCAAGTTACTCTGTTGTGCAATTACTCTACCAGTTTTTCTAATGCGTATCTCTTCTGGTACAAACAACTACCAAACAGATCACCAACATTCATTCTGAGTGAATTTACAGTTGGTAAAGGAACTATTATGTTAATCCTGATACACACAATTATAAAGGATGTTTTAACCATATTCATGTCACTTTTGCTGCTGTGAATAACTGTTTTAGTACCACCAAAAATAAATTGCATACCTAAATTCATTATGTGTTTATAATATGCACATCTAAACAGAGAATATAAACAGAGAACAAGTATGAGGAATTATTCCAGATCATATTCTGTATACTGAGATCTGAGGATTTCTATCACACGACAGAGTTAGTAAGGAACCACAAGAGGGTACAATAGGACATGAATAGTAATCGAATGACTCAGTGGTGTATGAAACAGATCTGATGTGATCTCTCTCAAAGAGCTCTCTGGAAGAGGTGGGGTTTAAAGTACTGATACCTGATGCGATCTTGTTAAACTTCTGTTAGAGAGAGCATAAGAAACACACACAATGAATCTCCATTCTGTCATTCTGCTTTCTGTCTTTGCATGTAAGTATTGAAGTGTTTAGTGATTTGCATCTAAATTATGTATAAAGTGTATTCCTTTATATTGTATATTGCAATACACAGTTCATAAAAGATTTGTTCTACATTTGCAGATGCAACATATGGAAATGAAATTAAACCAACCAAAACAGAGGAGTTTGCTGACGAGGGTTCAAGTGTTAAATTATCCTGCGGTTATACATCTGCATACTATCTTCACTGGTACCGTCAGTATCCCGGATCAGCTCCTCAGTTAATTGTGCTCATCTCAGACAGTGCAAAAGAAGACCAGAAGTCTAATGTAGATTCCAGATTCACGGCTAAAGTCACTAAAGACAATAATGAATACATTGTGGATCTGGAGATCTCCTCTGCATCTATATCAGACTCTGCTCTGTACTACTGCGCTCTGAGGCCCACAGTGACAGGAAACACAAGAACACTGTACAAAAACCTGACATAACTATAACTCTACCTTCTACAAATTAGACTGGAGCACATCACAATCAAGAGAATCACATTCCCAAAATATCAACTCAGACACTGAGAACAAAATCTGATAAAATGCATTAAAATACCCGTTTAAAAAGGGTACATTTAGAAAGAAAAGTAAAGAAACCACATGATGGCAATACCATATATTCATATTATCTCATTTCAGGATCACTAGCTCCTCCTTGCTTCAAATAACAGTTCTCTGATTCACATATGTCTTTCTCTACCTCTTTCATTAATCTACTGTCTGTACAACAGAAAATAAACTAAATGTATATTTATGTCTGGGTGAGGGTTCAACTGAATCATCTCAACAGAGAGCAGGAAGTTCCTGAGTGACTGTATGACTCAGATCCTGAGTAACTGCAGAAACTCAGAGCATCACAATCATCACAACCCACAGAACAGAAGAGCATCAGCAGAACTGATCTGACTTAAACATGGACAGACACTAGGTACTAACTGTAATCATGACTTCAGGTAAAATACTCTTTGATGTGCTAATGAAAATAGTGTAATGTGAATGAATGTAACCCACATGTTTTAAAATGTACACAAATTTTATGTTTTTATAGTAGGTATGATGGCTGCAGACCAGATTGGGCGATTAAAGAGTGTCAATGTCTTCAGTACAGAAAGAGAGTCTGTAACACTGAGCTGCTCATGATACAAGTAGTAATAAAGTTGAACTTTCTTGGTACAGATAATATCCTAATAGAGAACCCCAGCATTTAATGTGGAAAGATGCTTGGTCATGAACTGGTACTGGGAGCCCAGCTGAACCTCACTTTCATTCGACTACATCAGAAACATCCACTGAACTCACTATTACTGGTGTAACTCTGTCAGATTCAGCTCTCTATTATTGTGCTCTAAGAGTAGCAGCCCAGTGATACAAAGTCTGTGTGAAGCCATACAAAATCTCAAATTCATTCTTTGCTTTGAAACTGAACCTCATCAAAACCACAATCTATTATACACAGAAACTAATCAATTATGCAGAAACATCTGCGTCTGAGTGTGAGTAAGATTGTAAGCATTTTGACTCTTACAGACTATAATAAATTCAGGACATTTCAGTTAATAGCATCATAATGGTATTTATAATATTTATTTTAAGATTATCTATTTATTATTGTTTTGTGTGTGTGTGTGTGTGTGTGTGTGTGTGTGTGCGCGCGTTT